CACTCTTTATTTTCATACCAAAACACCTGAAGAATGCAACACTAAATTTTTGGCTGAATGTTGGGCGACAAAACCGTCCAGGCAGTCCCATCGGAGAAGAAAACAGGTGTACGCCTTGACAGTTGTAAGCAAGTTATCGCTTTCAGAAAGACATGTATTTCCAAATCCTTAACATTGGATGTATTCGGCAATTCCTTAGCACAAATGCATTCAAAATAATGGTCATTAGGGTGTAAGCACTTGCCAGGACAACCAATGCACACGTATATGGTGTCTCTTGTACAATAACTAGCCGTCTTCAGAGAGTTCGGCACACTGCAGCTCGGCTAGATAACACTATTAGAAAGATAAAGCATATTAAACTACTGCTCCATCCCTTCATCATCTCCGATAGTGCCTTCAATCCAACTGTTAGCTTTTATGATTAACTTTATCCAGGACTTAAATATATTAGGAAAACGTCAGTTTATTTTAATCAAGGTAAAATGTGCTATTGCATCAGTTTCAATAGTGATGAAATCCATTTAGTGGTCCCAACTCCCCAACTCCTCACCCGTCAAGTTACGAGTCTTGCAATGTTCAGAGAAAAATAATCATTTACCCCCTTGAGGGTGAGATAGGAGAATCTCAACCCCCAGGAAAAAAATCTTAAGTTGTCAAACACGAGACTATGCCGGGTGTTTGGCAACTTAAGAATCTTCCCCTTTCGGGTTGAGATTTTCCTTATTTCACCCCCAAGGAGATGAGGCTCTATTACTCCCCCATAGGGTTTGAGGCCCATACATTTTACACTTTCTTTGAGGATGAACGTCTCTATATTCCTTGGTGGGTTTAGTGGTAAAGTGCATAGTACGTGTCATTTTTGTTATTTAATATTATTTCTTTCTTTTGCAAACATTAAAACTTCTATCAATTATCAACATTCATTCTGTAGAATGAATAGCAATATGTGATTTTTATGGACTGTTTCTTTTGACAAGGATTCGTGGGTTTTTTTCACAAAAGAGACAATGATACTAAGTTAGTCGCTGATGCCCCTAACCTTAAAGTTTGAGTTCATCAGTGAATTAATGATTTGGATATAGTATATTTTATTGATTGGCATGGTTTTACTACTTGCTATATGTTCTCAAAATATGCTTCCAAATTAGTGCTATCTCTTTAGGCAGATCGCAGCGGATACTGCGTCAGATTTTATTAGGCAAAGCAGACTTGATTGCATTTAGCTGCTTAATTTATTTCAATATGCCTGACAGAGTGATTTCGGTTTTCATATCATATGACTGTGATGTCTTAGATCGCTTGGCTGTGTGAAATGTGAGGAATCAACAAAAGCGTCTGTCTCATTCAACGTTTATTGCAGAAGCGCGCGAATTCACCTCCTTAAGGAGAGTTCCTAAATACAGTTACAGGCTTATCTTCCTTCGACCATACATTACATCATTGTCTCTCTCACCCATCACATACCATACATACAACAAGGGCACTGATAATTTGATAGTAGACTGCAATGTGTAAGAAACTATTCAGATTTCATTTATTCTTCAAATATAATTTGGAATTGAGTGTCTAGAACTGTTGCTGTGGTAAAAGCGCATTGGTTTTAAGTTCCATCTTCTTTAATGAAGAAGACGTTGTTGTGATCTGTCATTTATTTTTAGTTGTCTAGTTGTCTCAGATACCAACATGGGGAACAACTCCGTCGATGTACGTCCAGTATGACTTGTGGAATTTCTTTTGGATTTGATTTAAATAGTTTGATCTCCAGACTTCATTTTGTATGCATTCCGTTTCGCGAGCTTGTTGAAACCTCTCGTAACAACCCATGCGGGGTTTAGATTTCTTTATAATGTGCGTGTTGTGTTCCTCAATTGCACTCAAGAGGATTGTTTTAAAGGTTTCCAGCATTTAACTGAGTTTGTTTGGCTCAGCATTCTTTGGCATGCTGGTCAGTATTGCCACGCAATCTAATTTGATGGAGTTCTGGTTTTAATTTCACTGAAGAAGTGTTTTCTTCGAATTGGATATCGTTTAAAGAGTTAATTTTTTAGAATGTTAAAACGCCACAACATATATAAACGACTAGGGTATACACAAAGATATTGTTGTACATTTATACGTATATTTAGCCCAGGTATACGAACATGATTATTCAGTCCAAATATATAACGTGTTATAGATGTAGCACAAGTTTGCAAACAGTACTGTAGCGTAGCAAGCAAGGGTCATGATTATTTGTATTGTTTCCTTTGTTAGGACTGACATGGAAGTAGTCTGATGGTTCAAAATGTTCCGTATTGCAATTCCATGTAAAAATGCAAATACTACACAGATAGTTCGGTACATGTATCTTATTCAGATAGATATATATATACATAGAACACATTTACACCTTGAAAGTTAAATACACATGTTCTTATTGTTATGACAAACAGTAATATAAAACATCGTAATCTCATTGATATTGATATAAAACAGTTGAGAGATGATTGAGGCTGACGGCACTGTAATTATATAGAATATATTGCTTCAGTGCTTATATTCAGGTTAAAGGCACGTAAGCGCGTGTTAAGTATCCCGATTAAGCATCACTAACGCATAATCAACCGTGTCCACTATTTAGCGAGGTTTTGTAATGCGTGTCCCAGCCACGAGGTTACCAGGTCAGATAATGATACTAGATATGTTTACAATATCCGCTAGTGGTAATTCTTATTAATCTTTAATAAGATCGGAATTTGAAAGTAGTGTCCCTATATTAGTAGAGCGCTTATTGCTTATCGATGGACGGATCGTTTTAATTAACTCTCTCCAACGAACTTAACACGATTGATTATCTTTATCGTTATTTACATATTATAATTATATATGATATCTAATTTCAAATGCATTGATGTTCTTCGGTTTGAGTACAACATTATATGTAATTATTCTTCGACCGGTATCGAAGAATTATTTATTTACATTGTATAAATTATTCCGTTAAAAGGGCTATTTTGGTCAAATGACACCCTTAAATCGAGAAGATACTGATGCATAAATGATTCCGTTAAAGGGGCTATTTTTATCAAATGACACCCTTAAATCGAGAAGATAAAATGTACTGAACATGTATATCTTATAACAAAAGTTTACTTGGTTGATAATGACATGACCTGTATCCAACGTCCAGTGTGGTCAGTTTTATCTTTTGGAAAGCTGGTGATAAATATAGCTACAACCAAAACTGGGCAATATCCGGGCATTTTAGTGAGACTGACCCTGGCTGTCGTCCAACGACATACTGGCAATGAGTCTGACTAATGTCGCTTTGACTTAACAAATTACATCGCTATCCAGGATTTTAAGTTTCATGATATTTAAATCCAATCAGAAATTTGTGTTCACTTTTGGATTAAATACAGGTTTAATTACATGTACAGTATGCACACAAGAGGGTACCACTTGAAGAATTTCAATCCGCACAAAAAACGATATATGTGAGTTTAATCCTAAAATAGTCACTCGTTTATAACGATGATTAAAATGCTGTTTTGAAGATGATTTTGATTCAGAATAAATATATGTAACTGTATTCAAAAGAAGTTAGTTAAATAAAGTGTAAATTAACCTTCTATCCTCGGCTCGAAAGACATATTTGTTAGTTAGAAGTTATTCGAAAGCTGACACTTGTATGGCTATACTTTAAAGGATTCCATAATTATTGACTTAGAACGCAAGGAAAACATTGCCTCTTGTCAAATGTAAAGGAGTATCAAACTCTATTATCATAAAGAATTTTGCGACAAGATAATGAATAAAACATTCCTCAGTAAGTTATTCCTTTAGTGCAAAATAATGGCAAGGAAGCAACAATTTTGTTTGTTTGTTTTGACATATGTATATCAATCAAGTTTGATTCACATGGAATGTCTTTTATAAAATGTCGGGCGGAGAAGTGCTTCCCGAAAATGCAATATATAATCTTGAAATCATTATCGTTCCATGTATACCGGACACGCGTCAGGTTGCTGGTACATTGTAATCCAAAATCTAACGACTCTAACAACAATGTATGTATGACTGTTAATGGGACAAAACATATTCATTCAGCACATGCTGTTATCGATTACGCAACATACGAAATACTTTAAAAAGTGTGTAAGTTTAGCATTGCAATACACATATCACCCATAGCCTCAGAAGTTCAGCTTAAGCGAGATTTTAATTATGAATAATGGGGATATTATATCTATTGAAGGATGTCTTGTTTAGCGAAATATCAGCAATATACCGTCTGTGATCATTATGTTACAAGGATTCCTTCGAACCTAAACACGGTAAAACTAGATAACAGGAATTTACTTTTGACACTGTTTTATTCAGCAAAATGGGAAATGCACATAGACTCTTGGATTACCCATTTCGTCCATATACTGTCGGAGAGTATATCGCGGACACGTAACCTCACATGCTTTTGCTACCATTTATGTAGGGTTGACAAGCAGATCGGTCATTTCGTCTACAGTTACCTTCAAGTTGATAAATAGTTACTGCATTATGCCGCATACCCGCTGTCATATTCTTCTTCGTGTTCATTAAAGAAAAACATATGCTCTCGAAACGTCACTAAAGTTTCAACTATTGTTTTGCGTAAAGATCAATTATTTACACTGACATAGAGTTACTTACTTCAGTCCACGCAGATATAAGAGAAGGACCATGTTTCATACGATTCTTATTAATGTTTTTAAGGAGTATTTACATTTAATGCTGAATAAAACAAATGCTTTTCACGCAATGAATGCCATATCTGTAGTATTCGCCCCAATACAATATAAACTTCAGACATATTTGAAGTTGTCGGTTTTCATTCCGGAGAAAAAAACAATTCGGCACTCTGATTGGTTATACAGTGAGGTCAAAGGTTAACTTTGGCCTGCCCCGTGCTTGCTCAATAAGTGCGCCCTGCTTTTGTATAATAACAATCCGATGGTATCGTGCCGCACACGCCACGCCAACCCCTTAGCTAGCGGACTGGCAAGTAGGAAACTGCTTCCTTTCATAGATACTCGCTAGACCTAAATCACATTTATCAACCTAGCGTTATCAATCACGCTGGAGCGGGGTCCACAGGCTCTATATTAAGGCTCGGAATTGTAAAGGCCAGCGCTATATACTAATGAACTCGCGGACTTTAAGAACTCGAAAGTAAACTGAGAGGATTTACATTAGGGAGTTTCAGAACTGTTTAATTACTTTTCCTGTCTAAATCGTTTCGCTTTGTTTAAGTAATGTTTTATAGACAGCTTAAGGAAATAAGTTGTTTTCCGAAAAGCTTAACAATTAAGCAGCATGGGATACACAGGTAATTTGCAGATTTTCCTTCGTAAATAAACTAGTGTTAATTCGATGTGGAATGTATTCAAAACCATTTTATAACGTGTCTTCGGTGCAACAAACATTATCCAGTTTTGTCAGTCCGTGAACGATTTCTCTTGGATTAAGCGACGATTTGACGGACTTTACTAAACAAATAAATGCAGTGAACTCAGTCTCGACATACCTTCCTTGGAATCGATTTCAAATGCACATGTTTTGCTAAGTATAAGTTCACGTCGAGATAATTCATCATTTTACTTTATGCTAGATTTCTTATATTCGTCATTAAGTATTGATATGTGGTATTGATTGGTGTTCTTTCACGTAACATAAAGGAAGTGCATTTCAAAATGTACAAGCGAGAAGAAAATTGTCAACAAATATCCGGAAACGGTACATTTAGCGCCAGTCTGGTGATTGATTCTGTATCGGACAGTAACGGAAGTATTTACGACACATGTCGAAATCAAAACGGAACAGGAGAAATGAACTTCAGTGGGATAGCGAATGAAATCTTCGACCAAAATGGCGAGATTCGAATACCGCTGTACTGTCTCATTTTTTTGCTGTCATTGACTGGTAATGTTTTGGTCATTATCACTCTGGCCCAGAACAGACGGATGAGGACTGTGACGAATGTATTTCTGTTGAACTTATCCATCAGTGATCTACTCTTGGCCGTTTTCTGTATGCCATTCACCTTGGTTCCACAGCTCATGCGACAATTCATCTTTGGAGAGTTTGTTTGCGTAGCAATTCGTTATTTTCAAGGTAAGTAACTTTTTTGTTTTTTTCAGTTACGTTATGAAACATAGTATGAATATTAGTATTTGGTTAAGTTGCATTGTTGCTCGCGTTATTTAGCCTTGCACTATTTAAGATCGGTGAACTAGGTAAACGTGCACTCACTGTGTATCACATGTTTTTTTCAAGTGGTATTTATTTTGCATAGATGTACACATAGATAGGTCGATAATAGCCACAGGAAGCTGTTAACTCACATGGTTTATTTCACAGTTTCTTTTTCAAGCTAGGAGTGATATATCTGACAGAAAGTGAATAGACAGTTATACGAAGGAGTGTTATAACACATTCCTATTTAAAATTAAAATAACAAAAAGTGTGAACAAGCTTGATAGCAACAACAACGAATCCATAATCAAACCACATCCCTTCACATTGTTGAATAGCACGAAGCGTCTTAAAAATAAATAATAATGCCCGGTACCGTCTAGACATGAATCAATCACTTAAATGTTCTATACAATACGGACAGTATATTCATGATATATTTGGTTTGGTTTGGTTTGGTTAAGTATTGTGTAACGTACTATCAACAACTATGTTCATGTAAGGACGGCCTCCCCTGTGTGCAAGATGCACGCGTGTAGTGTATGCGTGTGTGTTTTGGGAGGCTGCGATATGTTCGTGTTTGTCTCTTTGTGATAGCGCGGAACTGATGCCGACTGTATAGTGCTACCTCACTGAAACATTCACCAGTTCATAACCAGCAATGACCAAAAATACCGTATACATCATTGAAACTTACATGTAACATATAATTGTACTTAATCATCGAACTATTACGATATTTCAACCTATACATCGCTTATTGATTTATTTTGTGTGTGATTTGTCAATGATATACACTGTATACAGTATAGTATATATATCAAAGGGTATATTTAGGAACTGAATCATTTGATAATGATGGCGTATCGACGGTAACAAACACTGGTCCCGTAACAATTTCCGTGTGGTGATTACACCGTTCTAAGACAGGCTCGTACGGTCGTGTTTGATTGTCAATCTTTCACATCTTATGAGGCGGCGGAATTCGTATTCGGGTGATTATTTCTCATCTATTTTCCTTAAAAATCAATTTCCTTAGAAACCATGGGTGTATCTCTTGAGTCGACAGTATGCTTATTTCCGTTGAAAGTGTTACAATCCTCTATAAGCGTGTAGACGTTATTGGATGTTATACAAGTATCCACAATTGAAATTTTAACTCTTTTCCATCATACCTCGTTGAATTCGTATCGACGGTATCGTAATTTTTATTAACACTGTTTTGAAAACCATCACTCCTAAGTACCATGCTCAACGAACTGACAAATTAATGAAACAAATGGGGGAAGGCTTTTAATATCAATACTTCTGATCTTGTATAAGAATATGTTATATCTGATTGAGACGCATTTCTGGAAGAAGAGGTAAAATGTACGTATTTCAGTCAGCGACATGAGTAAAGATATACAGAAGAAACTAATTGTTATTTATTAATCTGTATGTTGGTCACCAACGATGTAGAATACAGCAAATGATTCCACATAGCAATATATCTACACAATTTGATGGTCAATATTGTTCACCTTAGAACGGACATTATCTGTGACAGCATGGACATGTTAGGCTGGCTGGTCACAACGGAGGAAAGGAAAGTTTACCACAATCAATTAACTATGCTTAGCAATACTAAGCTTGCGATTAATTCTTCAAAGTCATTTTCTGGTTATCTGTAGTTATGCAAAAACATATTTATAATTTATAAAAATTAAGCTTGTAATAACATTTGACGGATTATTAGTTTTCTTGGTACGGTAATTAGATTTAAAAAGATATAAGTCTCGGACATTATTCTGATATAAGCTTCATGATAATTAAAACGAAGTAAACATGTTTTTATTTTAGCCTTTCTTTTAGTTATTCGTGCTTTGGGTTCGACCTTACCTTGATCACCAGTTATTTTCGATACGGATATACTTAAAAAAACACACATACTGTACGACATTGCTATCACTTATTTTACAACTCGGTGCTATACCTATAACTAGAATATATCAAAATACTACTTGGTGGACTTTTTTTTATAATTATGTGATAATGATATGTGTTTGTTACGTAATATTGTGAAAGAATGAGTGCTGAATAACGGCAATATCAACACAAAGCTGAAATGACACCGCTGATAAAACTCAACCAATTTGACAACAATAATAAACGTTTGGTAAAAGAATTCGCAAATTCAATTTGAAAAGAAAACAGGCACAAATCACATTTTTCAGAGGGCCATGAAGAAGAATGAGTTGTAGCGGTCTAAACCTTATCTGCGTAGCTGATCTGATTAATGTTTGGTTCGGTTTGGTTTATAAGGTTAAATACCCAATTACTGCCAAGGCCATTTCGGGGAGTGTCTCACTGTCGGCAAGGTATGCGTGTTCTGATGGTAGAAAGTTCGTCTATTCAATATTGCAATAGTGCGGATCTGATGTCAACTTCAGAGTGCAACCTTATTGAAATACCGAAAGCATTGAAGGCACCATTAATAGCCTTCAACCAGTCACAATATACTGACAACGGTTATAAACCAGTCGTTGCGCCTATATTAAATGTTAAAAGTTTACCAGGGATCACTACTGCCGATTTCAGGCCTTAGTATGTCCTGGCCTGAGGAAAGAACCCATTACCTTCCTTACATGAACGGGCGTTCTGCAATATATTCTAGAGTGAGGCAGTGCCAAGGCGGACGTTACGAAGTATAAAAATCAAGAATAGAAATACAAATAATATGATCGAAAAAGATTTAATCCTAAACGAACATGATGCGTACTATACGTTGTTCTCTTTTATTTGCTATTGTAACTTGTCGCCTTACAAAACGGAAAATTCCTTGTATAAAGGGATGGGAGGGTTGCTCTTTGTCTGATCCCTTCCTCTCGACGAGCCTGATGCGGCTATACCTGTTCAACGTTCTCCTTGACGAGTAAATCGCCCGGCCACAGCAAGGTGACAATTCATCCGTGTAATTTTATTTTAGATCATCTTAAATATATGTACTCCATATATCATATTATTCTGAAGTTATTAATAAGAACATCTCCAGTGATTAAATTTATAACAAAAAACATTTTCATGATTATCCGACGATAATGATAAGTCAATTGATACGTCATAGCTCCTGAATACGAGACTACGTAAACTTTGGCATACAAATGGGTTTTTTATGTGGTCACTGTTGATATCTAACTTCTGTATATTTTCATGTATCCTTTGGAATCACTCATGTTCAAATACTATCCCTTTATGTTAATCATCAGGTTTGTCTAAAAAGGAAATAATCATTAAATGGATTTAGGAGGGACATAAGAAAAGAAATTTATCTAAAATTGAATCTAGTTTGGAGAAAGTAAAAATATAATCATGATCGGTGTTAATGGATGCAGTCGACGTTGAAATTGTAATTGTAAGACCTTGTTTTGCACAAGTAACCTCCTTTGTAATCATTGCAATAGCTGCTAGGAAACTGTTAGATAATGTTCATGAATAATTCCACAGCTGCTCAAACATGGTTGACAAACCAATTTACAAGTTCAAATGAACAGATGATATTTAAACGATCTTTTTTTCTGGAATTTTCGATCCGTCCTTATTGTCGAGCCTTCTGTCAGTAAAGAACTCGACAACTAATACGGCCAAAATGAAGACGTACGATTAGAATGAACAAGTCACTGTGTGTTTAATTGCCTAATGATCGTGTATTATTCCCTTGGAATATTGAAACTCGGTCAATTACCCTAAAACAAATCAGATTAACACTTACTCTGACTCGATATCTGATCAGATTATTGTGTTTGACTGTTTCACGACAACCATGTCAAACGATTAACATGATTGTATTTGTGGTAATAAATACCTTTGGTTCAGTGGCAACAAGTGTTGCTGTAGAAGAAAACATGCTGAAACAGAGACATTTTAATTGCATCATTCTGTTTACTGTATACTCACGACATTATTGTTATACATGTATACAACATGTTGGGCGATTAGAATTGCATCTTTGTAGGATATCAGCCGCCTCTCGTCTTGCTGAAATACGACGTCATCGAAATTATTTTATTAATCGCACGGGACCCAACGATGAGGTTTTCTGTAATTGTTTAACTAGTTTCGTCTTAGTGTTGACAGTGGAAACCTCTATATTGTCCTGGCCAATAACTAATTGTATTGCCAATGAAGCCAACTCAGACGTAATCTGTAATGTCCGTTGAACACTTATTTTGTTGGATTCCTTCGATAGACGGAATTAAGATAGCAAGGCGTCGAGTGTTCCGATTAACATGTGATATTTTGAAGATAGGATGTGCTGTCGTACAGGTAATATATTTATTTAGTAAGCGAACTTTTGCTGCAATAGCAACAACGCAGAAAATCAAACACAGTCATAAGTGATCACAGTGATAACAGACATACAAGTACTTACTAGTGATATAAAGCTATCCATTAATGAATTACATAATAGTCATATTTAAAACGATTCGTTGCATTCAGGCTACTATTATCTCAATCAGTCTTGTACAAAATCAACATTTGCGGTGAATTGCATTTTTTTGTTTGATTATTCATATATCAGTATGGTCGCAAGTTCACCTGTTTTTATGCCAGTAGCTTTAATGAAAAAATTGTGGTTTAATTTACTAGTCCAGCTTATTTAACAACTTATTACATTTATATGTGTTACATTCCGAACTTTTAATTTGATTTGGTCATTCTTTGGAAATGTATTTGAATACGATATGAGCGTATAATCCATGATAATATACATTTTGCAGGCATTAAGTTCATATGTTCAAATCGATCACAAAATGAACATGTGATGCTAGTTGACATTTCCTAGGGTACGGAAAAGGATGACTTTGCAATAACAGGAGCCCGGAGCATCATAACTGAAGTGGGTGCAAACACTTAGACGTGAGAGCTCTCTCTGGGCA